CGGGGCTCACGCCCCGGCGCGCAGCTGCGCCGCTGGTCGGCCGGCCCCCCTCCGGGGGGCCCGCGACTCGGGGCTCATGCCCCGGCGTTCAGCTGCCTCTCCAGGGCCGGCGTGTGGCCTGTGGATCAGCAGGCTGAAGCGGAAAACAAGGTCTGAGAACTTGCAACTTGAGAAGATGATGGTTACCAGCCCTGCATTGCCTCAGGGAAGAACAGGAACTACTCTACCATTCTTGAAGTGAAGGTACTTAATGAGAATAGGACAGTGTGGAATGGGGTAAGTGAAGAGAAGAGGATAGAGAAAGATAGCAAGTGAGCAATAGAGAGACAGGACGTCAGTGAGAAACAGATAGGGTTTATTAACTGTTGATGATGACATGTATAGAATTCTCAACTGGATTGATCTGAGAAGTGTTTCATGATGGGCAAAGTATTTTTACAAGCAAAACGAGAAATAGCAATTGACTGTTTTATAAAAATAATTAGAATAATAAAGATAATGATTGGGGAAAACAGAAAAGATATGGAATGTTGAAGTGGGGAGATTAATGTCTCTGTACTGACTGACGTGCATGGCATTCCCTTTTGAAGAAACAATGTAATACACAGTAAAGTTATATGTAATCCAATGTAATATGAAGAAGATACGATGATAAAAAATAAATTAATTAATTAATTAATTTAAAAAAAAAGAGTAAATAGAGTGATTAACATTTCTATTGTCCTTAAAACCCGCTTCATCACCTTAAGGATGATTAACCTGCTTACGTGTTTTTTCTTGCTTCTGTAATGTGCTTTCGCTTTTACATTGTAAAGCCCTACTCCCTACCCTTTCAAGCCACTGCTCTTTTTCCTCGTAAATCATCAAGTCATCCTGGATATGATTGTGTATTTTTGGCTTATATAAGCTCCTTTCTCCTTTCGCTCAAGGCTGCAGGGTTTCGAGAAACAAGAGTTCCTTCCCCCCATGCCGCTGTCTTACTCAATAAACTCCAATAACTTTGAAAAAACAATAAAAAATTATAAAAATGAATTATAGTGTATCTATGGAATCAAATGCAACATTATAAAAGAATACTATACACCTATATACTGACTTAGAAAAATTAATAAGACATGAAGTTAAAAATACAATGAGCAGAATAATTCATACAGTATAATTTATGTTATACAAATTATATTTGTGATAAATACGAGATTATCAAAACATTAATGGAAATGAAGTTATTATAGTATGAGCTTATTTTGGTGCAAAACAATTTTGAAATACATGCAAATTTTTCATAACACACATTTTCCATGAACTTCTCAGAGACCCCCCCTCCTATGTGTGCAAATACATAACAAAGGGTCTGAAAGGGTCCATTCCTTGTACTGCACTGAATAAAGTCCCCCCAAATTATTGTCAAGCTAAATTCTTGGTGCAATCTTATTTGGAGATTGGGTCTTTACAGATATAGTAAGTTTTGTCAAAATCCAGTCCTTGTAGATTACAGTGAATGCAAAATTTAACAATTGGTGTCTTTATGAGAAAACCATGTGAAGACACACAAGGAAGAAGACTATGTGAGGACAGAGGTGAAAACTGAACTGACACAGTTATGAGTCAAAGAATTGACAATACTTGCTGGAAACCATCAGAAGTAATGAGAGAAACATGGAAGAGTTCCCCATCAAAGCCTGCAGAAGGAACCAAACCTGTTGACACCTGGATTTCAAGCTTCTGGTCTCCTGAGGTGTGAGACAATAAATTTCTGTTAATTTATGAATCCTGTTTCATGGTCTACTTGTTATAGCAGCTCTAAGAAACTAATACACACTTATAATGATTAGCTCTAAGGAGGATATTTTATGTATTTCTTTATTATTTGAAGGTTTTATGATAAAAAATTTATCCTTGCATAGCTGATATTTTTAGCCAATAAAAATAAAATAATAGGGACCAGTAGATGGTGTAATGGCTATGTCACTGGACTCCCATGTAGTCAACGGTTCAAGTCCCATATCCGGTGGCTTAAACTCATGGGATGCGTGTGTGTAGATGCCCAGGATCCCGAGAGGAGAATGAAAGAGAAGAGACTGTGGCATGGCCATCCCCCCTGGGGGGGGAGGTGATTTCTCACTTGCTATCTCTCTGTCTCTGTCTTTCTGGTGAGCACACATGCCCTATAGCAAAAACCTCTCTAATAAATAAATAAATTAAATAATAAAGAAATTACCCATATTTTATGTTGGCAGTTACAACTCTGCCACTTATAAAATCTCAAACATCTGAATGTCTTAATCATGTCATCTGAAAAATGGGATGTTACCTCCTCTGCTCACCTGCTCGGTTGGTACTGAGTTCTCCCTGGCCACTTCTCTCACTGTCCATATTCATCTTCCTCTTAAACAGCTCTAGCCTTATATCCCCGTCCTCAGCAGATTGGTTTCACCGTCACACAGCTAGGTGCCTCTCTCCTTTTGAACCCCTTCAATAGTTCCTTATCGCCCATTAAATAAGATTCAAACTTCTTTGCCTAGTGAGAGACTCCCGACATTCTGAGCGACACCTACCCATTGATCACCACTTGCTCCCTTGCCTTTCTGGGTATAGGGAAGTCAGGGTTGTCAGTTGTCTTGAATACCTGAGCGCTGCCTTCTCCAGCTATGCTAAATGGTTATCCTCCACCCTAACCTCCTTTCCAGCCTGAAGGCTTTTACTATCGCCCCACAACAGAAGTGGTTTCACTTTCCTTTGAATTCTTACAACACAAACCCCCGGTGTTTTACCTTCTGTGATTACCCTTTCCGCCAATTAAACTGCAAACCCCTTTTGAGGGAAAGAACTTTATTCATTACTGTGCCTAGCACACTACCTTACAGAAAACAGGTGATCAATAAATATTTGCTGAATAAATGAATAATAACTATAAAACACTTGAGTTTCATAGAATTAACATGGATTCTAAAAATAAAATTATAAACAGGACTGATATTCAACTAGCACACACCAGTACGATCACACAAGTTTTAACCTATTTCTTTACAACTCTATCACTATCCCTTTGCTACTCAAATGCCTACCTCTGCTCTCTCCCCTGGGATCACCTGAATTCCCCACAATCTGCCAACTAGGAAGTTAATGTCCTGCACAGTAGGGAACACCCAGGGTTCTTATCCAACCCCATGGCTAGAGTCCCCTGGTAAAGAATCCACCTGACTGATCAGGACCTGTGCAGCATCACTGTTAAATATTCTGATAGTTGCCCAGTTACAGTAAGGTGTAATTACACAGTTTTAAGGTGATATTTCTTCTCATCACAAAATCTCAGAAGAGTAAGAAGATTCAGGAATAGAGAAAATTTTAAAAAGCCTGTAGAAGATTTGGAATATATCTGCTAGGACTCAGTCTTCATGTAAACGAGAAGATACGCAGTTTCCTGCCTAGAAAAAAGAGAAAATGCATCAGCATAGTGAAATGAGACATTGTTAATTCATGTTAGGACAGCAAACTTCCAGGTTATCTAATCATGTCTTTATCTATCCATCACCTCAGAAGGAGACAACACTTTGTTCCCAAACAAAACAAAATCATCTTCCATCCCCAGGATTCCGGATACAGGCACAGTGAAAATATGTTCCTAAGAAAATAACCCTTAAGTTGCTATTAGTTGACAGCTGAATCTGGGTTTGAGAAATCACAGGCCAATGGGCAAAATCCGACTCTGTTTTTTACAAGTGAATTAGTTGCCAAAGGAACCCTATGGTCCATACGCCATGCCCTGACTTAAATCATGGGGTAGAGGAAGGTGAATGTTAACTGATGCCACAAAGATTAGGCATCTGAAAAAGATGCTTAGAAGCAACAGAAGAGAAAAATGAAAGGTAAAAAGTTGGTGAAGGATTTAAAAATGCACATGTCCCCTTAAGTCATTATTTTTCAAATGATCAGGCTTACCTCTGTAGTTCAAAATAAGTATCCTCTTTGACATTGATTTTCTTTTTCTTTTTTCTTTTTTTTTTTTTTTTTTTGAGAGGTTTTTGCTATGGGGTGCGTGTGCTCGCCAGACAGACAGAGAAATAGAAAGTGAGAAATCACCCCTCAGGGGGGATGGCCACGCCACAATCCCTTCTCCTCCATTCTCCTCTTGGGATCTTGGGCACACACATACACACGCCCAGCGTGAGTTTAAGCCACCGGGTCCGGGACTCGAACCACGGTTGACTACATGGGAGTCCAGCAACATAGCCATTCCACTAACTGCTGGTCCCTGACATTGATTTTTTAAAATATTTACTGATATTCAATGCAAACCACTGAGCCAGACAAAGATAAAACTAGTAATCCTTTCCCCCAAAGAGATCATGGTCTAATGTGCAAAAGAGATATATAAGCAAACAATCAAAAACCAGAGTGGGCCCTGCTGCAGAGGAGATTTGCTCAAAACAGTGAGAGTAAATGAGATGCCCACCTGAATCTGTTTGTGTGAAACAGTAAAGACTTGATAGAAAAAGAAAAGGCCAGGCCAGCTCCATAGCCCAATGGTTGTAGGAGCTGGATGCCATACAGCTGACCACGGTCTGAATGTTAGCCTCGGCAGCTTGGAAAACATGCTGGGTGTATGTGTCTGCCTGCCCCCAACTCCCAACAAGATAGAGAATGGGAGGAGAAAGGATTGTGGTGTGCCCATGCTCCATTGCAGATGCACCCCTAACAATCTCACAGGTACACATGCCCTCTGGCAATTACAAAAGAAGAATAAAAGGCCATGAGTATTAAAACCTGAGTGAGATTTTGCCTATATGATAAATTACGAGCAGGCAACACAGACCAGGAACCCCACATGGTCACAGAGGAAAGATGGGAAGCACAGTCTTTGGGGAGCTACTTGTACTTCAGTGCCGGGAGAGAGAAGCATAGTACAGTGGGATGTGTGTTGAAAGCTGAGGCTGAACAGTTGGCCACTAGGAAATCAACAGCATACAAATCACAGCTAAGTCTGTGAGACTTTCCTGCAGCTTTAAGAACCCTCTATAAGCCCCTCAGGTTTCCATCACCCACATAGTTCTCTTACCAGCGGTAGTTGTTGTTTCCATAGGTACACTGGATGTCCTCCCAGGACACCTGGAAGGACAGAAAGAGGAAGCTGAGCAGTCAGCTGACATTTCCTACATGTCCGTAGGGCAAAGGGCACTAAATCGTCCTCTCTCACTCTTCTGATAAATTCACTCCTGGTAACTCCCAGGAACCTGGAGCATCTAGTGACAGGATGTCCCTTGTCCCTCTGTTTAAATTTGGTTATGCATATTACAGAGTGAAAATTTTATGTATTTCTAACTCTTCTTCCTTTCAGAAGTGTCTCACAGATCATGAAGCTGCAAAGCACTATGCCTCGAATGCCAACAACCTGGACACTGATGTGTGTGGACTCTCACAGAGCTAGAAGTCAGATGGAGCCTTCAGGCACACACAGCCTTCAACTCTCATAAAAGGCCCTGCACACAAAGAATATGACCACACTGTGTCTTGCCCTAGAGAACCCATGCAATCCTGAGCTTGGAATTTATTAGACTTGGCTAATCCAGCTAAAAAAGGAATTTGTCTCTCACCAAAGAAACATTGGAGTCATTGAAGCAGAACCATCTTCCATCCCCAGGGTTCCGGATATAGGCACAGTAGTGACCAAAGTCGGCCACTCCCACGTGGGCAATCACAGCGAAGAGCTCGTACTGTCCTCCAGCCTGGAAACAGACAAGGCACGGAGGGCTCACCCACCGCCCCTTCTTGTCTAGCCCTAGTCTTGAATAATACATGATTTCGTCACAAACTCGTTCACTGCCTATCTACGGCAGGGACTGGAATGTCAAAGGCACAGGAAAACAGTCTTTGACTTCAATATCTTGCCACTGATTTTTTATTTGATACAGGGCATGTCTGCTCATCAGAGAGAGACAGAGAAAGGGAAAGTGAGAAAGGATCTCCTGGAGAGATGGCCATAGTACAATCCCTTCTCCAATCATCTCTTGAGATTTTGGGCACGTGTGCCTGGCATATAGAATTTCAAGCTGCTGTATCTAGGACTTGAACTGTGCTCTCGGCGATGTGAGATCCAGCTGCCTAAACCACCATGCCATTAGCTGGCCCCACGGCTGATTTACTTTTTCTTGTCAGAGGGTACATGCGCTTGCCAGAGAAAGAGCAAGAAAGCACTCTAGAATAGGGCATGGTCACATCACAATCTTTTCTCTTCCATTCCTCCATCCTGTTGGGATTCTGGGCACACACTCTGGTGCCTGTTTTCAGGCTGCCAAGGTCAGGACTTTGAACTGCAGCTGGCCATGTGGGATCTGGCTCCCTTAACCACTAGGCTACAGGGTCAGCCCTCTTACAGCTAATTGAAAGACAAATATATACACCAGAATTATAATGGCATGTTTTATAGCAGATGTCATTTCAGGAAATTTAGGAAGACCCGAATTTTGTCCAGAAGAGAAGGGACAACCAGCTAAGAAAGGGCTGAAGAGCACAGAAAGTTACCCAGAGAAGACAGCTTGAAGTGATCTTTTTGTTTAAGGTTTTTGCCATAGGGAGCTCAAGAAAAAAAACTGGACAGGAAACACAGAATTGGAAGTCTTCAGTCTGAGATGATCATGGAAATCAGGAGAATTAAGGAGATGGCATAAAAAAAATGAGAAGAAGGAAGAATGGGACTAACATTAATATCAACAAAATGTTGGGCACAAAAGGATCCAGCAGAGGAGGAGGGCCCTAGGAGAGAAATCCCAGGTAGCAGGGGTCAATAACAGGAAATAGTACAGAGAAGTCAAGTAGGAAAAAAAGAAATAAAAGAAGAGAGAAAAAGAAAGATAAGGAAGGAAAGAAGGTAGTAAGGAAAGGAGAAAGAGAAAGAAAGGAAGAGAGAAGAGAAAGAAAGAATGAAAAAGAAAGAAAGAAAAAGAAAGAAAAGAAGAAGAAAAAAGAAAGAAAAATTAAAGAGAAAGAGAAAGAAAGGAAGAGAGAAGAGAAAGAAAGAATGAAAAAGAAAGAAAGAAAAAGAAAGAAAAGAAGAAGAAAAAAGAAAGAAAAATTAAAGAGAAAGAGAAAGAAAGGAAGAGAGAAGAGAAAGAAAGAATGAAAAAGAAAGAAAGAAAAAGAAAGAAAAGAAGAAGAAAAAAGAAAGAAAAATTAAAGAGAAAGAGAAAGAAAGGAAGAGAGAAGAGAAAGAAAGAATGAAAAAGAAAGAAAGAAAAAGAAAGAAAAGAAGAAGAAAAAAGAAAGAAAAATTAAAGAGAAAGAGAAAGAAAGAAAGGTCTGGTTGATACCATACTTAACATCCAAAATTTTATATTAACCTCTGAGAGGGCTTCAAAAATGCATGGAAAATATAACTTTCGTGGCTGGATGATGGCTCGGTGGTGACACAGTGCTCTGCAAGGCTGACCTACGTGGAAGGTTCTGGGTTTGCACCAGAGACTTCCCTGCACACCCAGACGTGTGTGGCTGGAGCTGGGAGAGCATTACAGCAGGAAAGACTCTGCTGGGCGTGCCTGTTTCTCTCATAAGCTCACTCTGTCTCTCTGACCTCTTGCTCATGAAAAAACAGAAACTTACAAAATAAAAAACAAAGACCAGCAGTAGTGATTAAGGTGTGGGACTCCCAAGTAGGTGACTGTGGTTTGAGTTCCAGATCTGGCAGCTTGAAACTCACACCAGACACGTGTGCATACATGCCCAGGAGGAGAATGTAGAAGGGATTGTGGCATGGCTATACCCCCTTTGGGGGTGATTTCTCACTTCTTCTCACTGACTCTTTCTCTGTCTCTCTCTCTGGCGAGCACACACATCCTAATGCAAAAATCTCTACCAAGACAAAAAAAAAAAAAAACCTCTTAAAAAATAGAATAAAATGGGGTCAGTCAGTAGAATGGTGGTTAAGGTACTGGACTCCCACCAAGCCAACTGCAGCTCAAGTCCTAGACCTGGCGACATGCTTTCTCACTTTCCCTCTCTCTCTCTCTCTCTCTCTCTGGTCAAATTTTTAAAATAATAACAACAACAAATAAATTAATAATTCTTTAAAATGAATAAAATAACCCTGTGGAGCAGGCCTCCCAGCACAGCAGTTAAGTACTGTGCACATGGAGCCGAATCCCCCACGATCAGTCACTGCTGCAACCCTGGCACTGAAGGCTTGAAAATCACGCCAGGTAACAGCTATGTCACTGGACTCCCATGTAGTCAACCATGGTTCGAATCCTGGACCCAGTGGCTTCAACTCACACCGGGCACGTGTGCATGTGTGCCCAAGATCCTGAGAGGAGAACGGAGGAAAAGGAACAGCGACATGGCCATCACCCCGGAGGGAGATTTCATGTTTTCTGTCTCTCTGTCTCTCTCGGTCTTTCTGGCAAGTGCACGTGCTCTATAACAAAACAAAACAAACAAAAACTCTCCAAAAAAAAGAAAAAAAAAGAAAAGAAAATCATGCCAGGTACATGTATGCACATGCCCCAAACCCTAATGGGATGGAGAAAGAGAGAAAAATGGAATGTGGTGTGCTCTCTCTTGCTCCCTCCATCCCTCTGGCAATTAAAAAATAAACAAAAAAAATCTATGCATAGATTTCAATTTTTTTTTCACCAAAATAAGCCTGTATTTAATTCCATTTTTCCATAAACTTTCTATAGTCCCCTTGTCTGTAACATGTTATTTGAAAAGGCAGGTCAGTTCCATGGCCAGGTAGTCACTTGAGTCGGATCCCACAAGGCCAATCCCACAGTTAGAGTCCTGGACTTGGCAGCTTGAAAAATACACCGGGCACCTGTATGTGCTCAGAACCCTGACAGGAGGGAAAAATATAGACAAAGCAATTGAGGCATGACCATACACCATAGGGGATCCTATCTCCTTTGCCCTCTCTCTGTCTCTCTCTGGCCAGCTCACACAACCACTGGAAAAGAAAAAAAAGAAAGAAGAGAAAGAGAAAAGGAACATTTGATATGGGTTTCTTCCCTCAGTGCTGTGAGGCATGTGAGCACAAACCCAGCATTTAGATATAAGAGATAAGACCAGCAGTTGGTATAGTGGTTACATCACTGGACTTTCACATGGCCATGGTTCGAGTCCCAGACCTGGCGACTTAAAACTAATGCTGGGCGTGTGTGCGTGCATGCCCAAAAATCCCGAGAGGAGAATGGAGGAAAAGAGACTGAGGTATGGCTATCCCCCCCCCGGGGGGGGGGGATGATTTCACACTTCCTGTCTCTCTGCCTCTCTCTGTATCTCCAGAAAGAGCACACGCCCCATTGCAAAAATCTCTCTCAAAAAAAAAAAAAAAAAAAAAAAAAAAAAAAGGAAATAAATAAGAGAGTCATTCTATACTTAGGAAAATAAGAGCTATAAAATCGCTATAAAAACTGATCAATGAGGGGCCGCCAGGTGGTGTGGTGGTTAAGGTGCTGGACTCCCACATGAAGGTCTACAGTTTGAGTTCCAGACCTGGCAATTTGAAAATTACTCCAGGCATGTGTGTATGCATACCCAAAATCCTGGAGGGAGAATGGAGGAGAAGGGACTACAGAGTGTCATCCCCCAGGGGTGATTTCTCACCTTCCCTCTCATTATCTCTCTCTGCCTCTCCAAGGCGAGCACATGAGCTCTATGGCAAAAACCTAAAATCCAATAAAATAACATGGAACAGTGAAGAGAGAGTTCTGATTGGGAGCAGGATCTCTGTGAAAGTTAAGCTCATAGACAGAGAGAGTAGAATGGCGGTTGCCAGGACTGGAGTAGGGGGTGCAGGGAGGAATGGGAAAATATTGGTCAAAGGTTAAAAAGTTTCACAATTTTGTCAACTTAAAAACTTGATTAAATTTTCTAAACTATTTTTTAAAATACATAAATAAAATGGCATTTTCTGAAAAGTCCTTTTTTTTTTTTAGGTTTATGCCATAGAAAGTGTGTGCTTACTGGACAGAGACAGAAAAAAACAGAGAGAGGGAAAGTGAGAAAGCACCCCCCAGGACGTTGGCCATGCTGCAATCCCTTCTCCATTCTCCTCTCAGGATTTTAGATGCACACGCACCTGGCATAATTTTTCATGCCACCAGGTCTGAAACTCAAACCGTGGTAGGCCATGTGGAAATCCAATACCTTAACCATCATGCCACCTGCTGGCCTCTAAGAAAGAACTTTTTAAAAGAACACTAGATTCTAGTTTCCCCACACAGTCAAAGACTGTCCCTAACCTGAGACTTCAGAAAGATGATCAATGTGGGGGACAGAGAGGGACAGCAGTGCAAGTGAGCCAAGTCACCCAAAGCAGAGGGCTCATGCCATTCTTTGGGCTCCTATGAGGACTGAACTTAAAATGCAGGGCACTATCTGGATCTAACTATTTGCTTCCAAGAAATAAAACGGCCAAGGTCAAGGTGGTGGTGCTGTGGTGACACAGCTGGGCCCCCCAGGAAAGGCTCCGGGTCCATGTCCAGGGCCCTCGCCAAGCACGTGGGTGTGCAGGCCCCTGTGATCTTGGCTGGCTCCAGCTGCAGGGGGATTATGGCATGAAGACCCTGTTTCTCTCTCTCTCACTCACTTGCTCTGTATTCCTCCTTCATGGAAGAAAGAAACTTTTTTTAAAGGCTAGAGGAGTATTGTTAAATGGTACCAACAAGCCAATTCTGGACTACAATAAAACTCTTCAACCAAAAATCCTACAAGGAAAAGAAAAAGAAGGGAAGCCTACAATACTTACCTTCCCACTCCATCCCTCCACAAAGAGAAAAAAAATAATTAAAAAGCTAACGCAAGTGTAGACTTTGTTGAAAACTAGATTAAAATAAGCCGTCCAAATTTTAGGACAGTCAGTGAAATCTGAACATCGACCAGATGCTTGGGGATACTAAGGAATAATGAGATGGAGTTGGTTATGATTAGAAAGAGATCCGTGGGACACAGATATGGTTTATTACCTGTTGATGAGGATGTGTATAGTACTCTCAACTGGACTGAGATGTATATCATGCTGGGGAAAGACCGCGATCTAAATGCTGTATAGCGATTGAATGTATAAATAATAATAATAATAATGGAAAAAAGATAAAAGAAAGAGTTTCTAGACGTGTCTAGGTGCACAGTAGCAAAACACCTACATACTTTTAGGGTCAGATTAATTCTCAATTTCCATTGAATCTGCTGCATGGAGGGAGAAAAGTGGTACTGTTCAGATGTAGGGACATGTGCTGAGTAACCTTGTGACCTGACCTTTCCCTTGACTTATTCTTTTAGCAGAGCAGTTGGTGAAATTTACAGGGGCTGCTCTGACCAGGCCTTAATTCTTAAAATGCTGTGTTTCCATAGCGTAAGCAAAATTCAGACCAATGAAACTGGACAGACCAAAGTAGGCCCATATTACACATGAGGCTAAAAAAAATTGTCAAAATGTAGCACTTCATACCTCTAGAGATATATTTGTGTCATTTTTCTCAACCTCTCTAAAAAAGTTATCATTTCAGGGCAAGCGAATTAAACTTTATTTTCATTAAAGTTAGCCCAATTAATAATTGGCTATGTTATTATTCTCAAAGCATGGTAATAAGGTTTGTTTTGGTTTGGTTTTGGTTTTTTTAGAGATTCTCATTATAGTGCATGTACACTCTCTAGAAAGAAAGTGAAAAATCACACACACACCCCCAGAGGGGATGGCCACACTGCAATTCCCTCCTCTATTCTCCTCTTGGGATTTTGGGCACACATACACACGTGCCCAGCATGAGTTTTAAGCCACTAGGTCCAGGACTCGAACCATGGTCAGTCATGTGGGAGTCAGCACCTTAATCACTATGCCACTCCTGGCCCCAGTAAGGTTTTTATTTTCTTTCTTAGAGATTTTGCTATAGGGCTGTAGGGCATGTACACTTGCCAGAGAAACAGAAAACAAGAAATCACTCTCCAGGGGGTTGTGGCCATGCTGCAATCCCTTCCCCTCCATTTTCCTCTAGGATTTGGGGTACACACAGACATGCCCAGCATGAGTTTAAGCCACCAGGTCCAAGATTTGAACCATGACTAACTATGTGGGAGTCCAGGGACGTAACCATTAAACCATTTGCTGGTCCCCAGTAAGGTTTTTTAATAAGATGATTTAGTTGGTTTAAAATCCAAAATGACATATTTACCTTTGTATTTGTAAGTATTCCACCTGTTATTTCAAAAGCACACTACTGAATTATGTGTTTCTTCCCTCAGCACCATGAGGCCCATAGGTGAGCCAATAGTTGGAAATAAAAAAGTCTTTTGCATCTGAAAAGAAAAGCAACTTGGAAACCAGCAGATGGCGTAATGGTTACTTTGCTGAATACCCACATGGCTGACCGCAGTTTGAATCCTGAACCCAGTGGTTTGAAACTCACACCAGGCACATGTTGTGCATGCCCAAAATCCTGAGAAAAGAATAAAGAAGAGAATGCGGCATGGCCATCCCCCCTGGAGAGGTGATTTCTCGCTGTCTGTCTCTGTCTCTTTGTCTCTCCAATGCATGCTGTGTAGCAAAAATCTCTCTTAAAAAAAGACGGGGAAAAAAAAGAAAAGAAAAGAAACTACAAGTAGCAAAGGCTGGTGTGATAACAAGGTAACAACCCATCATAGGTAGTTAAGAACATGTGGGTTTCCATAATTAAAGTTCTATTTTAGAAAAAGGTGTTTTGGGTTCCAGCAGTTAGCGTAATGGCTATGTCGCTGGACTCCCATGTAGTCGACTGTGGTTCACGTCCTGGACCCGGTGGCTTAAAACTCACGCCGGGCACATGTGCATGCGTGCCCAAGATCCCAAGAGGAGAATAGAGGAGAAGGGATTGCGGCGTGGCCATCCCCCTGGGGGGTGATTTCTTGCTTTCTGTCTCTCTCTGTCTGGCGAGCGCACGCACCCTATAGCAAAAAAAACTCTGGAAGAAAAGAAAAAAGGTGTTTTGGGGCCAGCAGGTGGCATGGTGGTTAAGGTACTGGACTCCCACATGGCTGACCACCGTTGGAGTCCTGGACCTGGTGGCTTGTTTCCTCACTTTCTCTCTCTCTCTCTGCCTCCCTGTAGCTCTCTGGTGAGCTCATGTGCCCTATAGCAAATTTAAAAATAGTAATAATATTAGGTGGTCAAGAAAGTCATGATGCATTTTTGCATCATGCATTGAAAAACATAGAAAAATAAATCATGACTTTCTCAACAATCTAATAATAATAAATAAAATCAGTCATTCTTTAAAAAAATAGGTACTTCTTTTTTTATTTATTCATACTTCTTAAATATATTGATATGCTTTCATGATTCCTACCAAGCTGTTGATTAGATTCCCCCTTGGTGTGGTCCAAGCACAGCCAGTGCAGACGTGATTTCTTAGATAAGAGAAGGATACATAGGAAATGCCCCAAATGCCATCCTGCTGACTGGGCAACCTCTAGCAGTTTGGGGATGAGGGAACCAAACCTATAATAGGACATGTGTCTGCTGAGTGGGTGGGTGGAGGGAAGAGACTAGGGGCAGCTCACCTGTTCCGCAGCATCACAGAGATCTAGCTCCGTGGGAAGGACCTGGTTAAGATCCAAGCTCTGGGGGAAATACAGGGAGTGGCAGATCTTGTCTGTCCGTGAGTTCCTGATGGAGAACCGCATGAGGTGGATTGTCAAGGTCTGGGGCAAATGGGTCAGTTTCAAGACCTAAATAAAACAAAACACGGTATATATAAAATCCTAAGGCACCTGCAACAGGCAGATTCAGAGGATTATCAAGGCTGGTGGTATGTTCTTTCCAAAAAGGGGACCAGGATGACATAACACAAAACTGAAGGCTTCGGCTAGCTGAACCTGCCACATTCCTCCAGGAATAATGCAGCACTCGACGTCACACCACTGCACATCTCCCACAGAACACGCGGCCTTGCTTTCTGTCTCTCTCTGTCTGGCGAGCGCACGCACCCTATAGCAAAAAAAACTCTGGAAGAAAAGAAAAAAGGTGTTTTGGGGCCAGCAGGTGGCATGGTGGTTAAGGTACTGGACTCCCACATGGCTGACCACCGTTGGAGTCCTGGACCTGGTGGCTTGTTTCCTCACTTTCTCTCTCTCTCTCTGCCTCCCTGTAGCTCTCTGGTGAGCTCATGTGCCCTATAGCAAATTTAAAAATAGTAATAATATTAGGTGGTCAAGAAAGTCATGATGCATTTTTGCATCATGCATTGAAAAACATAGAAAAATAAATCATGACTTTCTCAACAATCTAATAATAATAAATAAAATCAGTCATTCTTTAAAAAAATAGGTACTTCTTTTTTTATTTATTCATACTTCTTAAATATATTGATATGCTTTCATGATTCCTACCAAGCTGTTGATTAGATTCCCCCTTGGTGTGGTCCAAGCACAGCCAGTGCAGACGTGATTTCTTAGATAAGAGAAGGATACATAGGAAATGCCCCAAATGCCATCCTGCTGACTGGGCAACCTCTAGCAGTTTGGGGATGAGGGAACCAAACCTATAATAGGACATGTGTCTGCTGAGTGGGTGGGTGGAGGGAAGAGACTAGGGGCAGCTCACCTGTTCCGCAGCATCACAGAGATCTAGCTCCGTGGGAAGGACCTGGTTAAGATCCAAGCTCTGGGGGAAATACAGGGAGTGGCAGATCTTGTCTGTCCGTGAGTTCCTGATGGAGAACCGCATGAGGTGGATTGTCAAGGTCTGGGGCAAATGGGTCAGTTTCAAGACCTAAATAAAACAAAACACGGTATATATAAAATCCTAAGGCACCTGCAACAGGCAGATTCAGAGGATTATCAAGGCTGGTGGTATGTTCTTTCCAAAAAGGGGACCAGGATGACATAACACAAAACTGAAGGCTTCGGCTAGCTGAACCTGCCACATTCCTCCAGGAATAATGCAGCACTCGACGTCACACCACTGCACATCTCCCACAGAACACGCGGCCATGGGGCTTCACACAGCAACCACGCCCAGGAGCCGTGGCCTCTGATCTAACCACGAGGAAAACCTGCCTGCTCTTCTGGGACCTTGGAAGGGTCGGTCCCTGTCAGTGGTGTTATCTGAGAAGCCACACCCACAGCCCTGGAAATAAGAAGCCCTAGGACTCAGACACCAGCCTGACCAGATTCCCTCCCTCCACCACCACGAGGTGTCCTCGGACCTCTCTATGAAGACTCAAGGAGGAAATCCACCAGGAGCAGCCCCAGACAAGCCAAGTGTCTGATTCTGTGAGTGAGTACCTGTTTCCCACGGGTCTTCTTCCCACAGTTTTCACAGAAACACTTGCTTTTGCTTGCTAACTCCCTGGGCTGGAAGAAACAGTGCAGGGCATCCTCCTGTCCCACCCAGAAGAATGAAGAAAAAGCAGAGTTGTATTTCCCACCTAGAGTACAGCCCCCACCCCAACATACACACACCCTACAGTTGGTTCTCCCCTTCCCACCTTAATATCTAGCATGGTAGATACTTGGAAGGCTCTCAGAAAGCACTTATTAATTGGAAGAACAAAGCAGGACAATGGTACTGGTTAAGAAAGCAGTGTGAGGAACGTAGAAGTAGGAAAAAAACCATTTTTTTGCCAAATCAAGGAACATACTGGCCAGTGCCATACAAATAAAATAGAAAGTGATTTTTTTAAAAAGCCAAGGATGGACAAAAGACCCAAGGGGCAATTGGTAACACTGAGTTGTATGGGAGAGAAATTCCTCACCAATGTTTTAAGGGGCTTTGAGTTCATATCAAAAAGAGAAAGGGGAAGTGCCAGCATGCTACTGTTTCTGCTGCTCTCCTCTGTACAGTCAAGGCACACCAAAGCCTCCTTCATCCGGATGATATATAAGGCCTGCAGCCTCTCCACCTGAAAGAGGATGAGGGGAGAAGTAAGAGAGGTACAAAGCCAGAGCTGGAAGGTGGTATGGTGGTTAAGGTGCTGGACTCTCACAGGGCTGACTGCAGTTCGGGTCTTAGGCCTGGTGGCTTGCTTTCTCATCCTGTCCCTACCCCACATCTCTCTCTAGTGAGCACAAGTACCCTGTAGTAAATTAAATAATAATAATTATAAATAAGATTACATAAATAATTCTTTTTTTGGGGGGGAGAGGTTTTTGGTATAGGGCACATGTGCTCACCAAAAGAGACAAGAGTGACAGAGAGACAGAAAGTGAGAAATCACCCCCCAGGGGGGATGGCCATGCCACAATCCCTTCTCCTCCATTCTCCTCTCGGGGTCTTGGGCACACACGCACACACGCCCAGCATGAGTTTAAGCCACTGGGTCCGAGACACAAACTGTGGTCAACTACATGGGAGTCCAGCGATATAGCCATTATGCCAACTGCTGGTCCCAATAATTCTCTCTCTTAAAAAAGCCATAAACTAGGCCACGACAGTTTCCATTCTGGAGCCAAAAGGAAGCTCCAGAAAAGATAGCCACTAATGTTGTTGGCCCTATTAATAAAGGTTCAAAAGAGTAACACTGATATTGTGAAACTGTGGTAAGCATTTCCCTCTCTATGTATCACAAAGATAATAGCTGAATGAGTTAGACAAGTAGCACCTTAAATGTCTGATTTCCCCAGTTCTGGGTTCTTACCAAATCCACATCCATGATCTGGTCCTTAATGAGGTTCCATATCATGAGGTAGAGTTGAGCAGCATCATGCTGGACAAACACTGTAGAAAGAGAAGAGCGACGGCCCAGTCAGTGAAGCTACAGAGGCACTTCTCAGGTCTGGTATTCTACTGCCTAGATGAACAGAAACACTCATCACTTTGTTTTCTAGCCTTCCTTGACCCCTGGAAAGGCTGTCTGCTCTAAGTACTAGATACCAATAAATGAAAAATAAATTTGAGAATGAATAAATGAATGAATGAATCTTAAAGTGCTATTAAAAAGAAATCTAGGGCATAACAAAAAAGAAAAGTATATACCTGTTTCCCTGATGACTATAGATGCAAAAATTCTCAACAAAATACCACCAAACCAAATCCAACAACACATTAAAAAGATTATTCACCATGACCAAGGAAGATTCATCCCAGAGATGCAAGGATGGTTCAATATTCACAAAACAATAAATCTGATACATCATATTGATAGAAGACAATAAATGAACCATATGCTTAAATTAACCGATGAAGAAAAAGCATTTGATAAGATACAACATTCCTTCATGATTAAGGATCTCAAGAAAATAGGTTTAGAAGGTACATTTCTTAACACAGTAAAGGCCATATGATGAGTGCATGGCTAATATCATATTAAATGGGGAAAAGTTTAAAGTTTTTCTTCTTAAAACTGGAATAAGACAAGAATGTCCACTTTCTCTACTCTTGATCAACACAGTACTGGGAATTTCTCGCCAACACGATCAGACAAGAAAATGAAATAAAAGAAATTCAAATTGAGGGGAAAAGAAGGTAAATTGTCCCTATTTACAGACATGATAATATTCACAGAGAAACCTAAAGAATCAATCCAAAAACTCTTCAATGAGATAAACTAATTCAGTAAAGTGGCAGGATACAAAGTCAACATACAAAACTATGTAGCACTTTTGAACAATAATAATGAACAAACCAAGGCAGAAATGAAGAAAGAAATCCCACTTACAGTAGTAAAAGCAAGCAAACAAAAAACAGAAAAAAAGCAAGCCAAAAATCCTACCTAGGAATGAGTATAACCATGGATGTGAATGATATCTACAATAAAAAACTATTAAAAATTAAAGGAAGAAATGGAAAAAGATATTAAAAATGGAACAACATTCATTATTCATGGGTTAGAATAATCAAATGTAATTAAAATCTTGCTACTATCCAAAGTTATCTATAAATTCAAGGCAATTCCTATCAAAAAACCAGCAACACTCTTCATGAAAATAGAAAAAAAGCATCATAAAATTTGTCTGGAATTATAAGAGACCCTGTATCACCAAAACGATTATTATACAAAGAGTGAAGTTGGAGGCATCTCTCTACCAGACTTCAAAACATATTACAAAGTCATAGTGACCAAAACAGCATGGATCTAACACAAAAATAGGCACATAGACCAATAGACAGAATATAAAATCCAGAAATAAATGCAACAACACATAGCCAATTGATTTTTAACACAGATCCTTACATAATTTAGTGAATAAAAGAAAACCTTTTCAACAAAAAGTGCTGGAAAATCATATATCATCTGGAAAGTAGACCCCAATCTCTCACCATTTACAAAATTTAATTCAAAATGGATAAAACACATGACACATAAAGCCCTAAACCATAAAACTACTGGAAGAAAGCATTGGATATACACTTCAAGATATTGCAAGGTCTTGAAAAAGACCCTTAAAGCAAGGGAAATACCACCAAAAACAGTGAGATTATCTCAAACTAAAAAGCTTATGCACCACTAAAGAAACAATAAAGAGACAACCTACAAAATGGGAGAAAATATTTGCAAATTATACTTTAGACAAGACATTGACAAACCAGAACATTTAAAGAACTCAAGCAATACACCTGGGAAAAAAAATTAACAATCTAGTCGAAAAATGGGCAGTCAGAGAGCCAGCAGGTAGTGTGGGGTTAAGGTGCTAGATTCCCACACAGCCACTGGAGTTTACATCCTGGACCTGAAAATCATGCCATGTGCGTGTGTATACATGCCCAAAACTCCAAGAGAAGAGTGGAGGAAAAGGGATTGCAGCATGGCCATACCTCCAGGAAGTGATTATTCACTTTCTCTTTCTCCAGCAAGCACTTGCACCCTATGGCAAAAACAACAAAGGGGCACTCTATCTGAACAGACATCTCTTAAAGGGAATGTATGAGTGGCTAAAAAGCACGTGGAAAAAAATGTTTGGCATCTCTTATAAGAAGGGAAATGCAAACAAGACCACAATGAAATGCCACCTAACCCTCAAAATGACTATGATCAAAAAAAGTAAAGAATTAACAAGTGCCAACAAATTTGCAAAGAAAAGGGAACCCTTGTGCACTGCTGGAGGTAATATAAATTAGTACAGTCACTGTGGAAAACAGTATGGGGTTTCCTAAAAAAATAAATAAAATCTAAAAAGTAGAACTACCAGGCCAGTTAGGTGGCATGGTGCTTAAGGCAGCTGGATCTCACATGGCCAACTGAGCCAGAGGCTTGAAAAAAATACATATATGCCAGGTGTGTGTGTGTGCATGCCCAAAATCCTGTAAGGAGGCTAGAGGAGAAGGGATTGCAGCATGGTCATCTACTATGGAGTGGGGATGCTTTCTCATTTTTTTTCTCTCTCTCCAGCCTGCATACTACCAGATGGCCCCTCAGTCTCACTATTGGATATATGCCCATACTTATCCATGAAATAGTGCTTGGCTCTGAGATCAGGTACAAGACAAGGATATTTATCCTTGGAACTTGTATTCAACAAAATACTGGAAGTTCTATCCAGGGCAATTAGGCAAGAAAAAATAAATAAAATGCATTAACATTAAAAAAGAATAAATGAGTAGAGCCAGCCATGGAGTGGTGTTTGAAGCAGCTGGATCCCACATAGTTGACGATAGTTTGAATCCCAGACCTAGAGACCTGAGAGTCATGACGGGCATGTATGTATGCCCACAATCCTGAAAACAGGCTGAAGTGGAGCAGAAGGGACTGTGGCATGACCATTCCCCACCGGGGGTGCATCTCTCTCTCTCTCTCTCTCTCTCTCTCTCTCTCTCTCTCTCTCTCTCTCGGCTAGTGCATGCATCCTGTAGCAAATTTTTTTCAAAATCTATTAGAAAATAATTTTTCAACAAATGTTGCTAGAACACATTCAAAAGAATGAGTTAGACCCTTACTCAAAAATTAACTTAAAATGAAACACAGACCTAAATGTAAGAGCTAAAAATATAAAGTCTAGAAGAATGGGAAGTTTCTGAGAAAAACGTATGAGGTTTCTTTTGGGGGTGGTGAAAGTACTCTAAAACTAGATTGTGAAAAGACTCAGCCTTGAACTATACATCTGAAGATGGGTGAATCTTGTAATATGGGGTATGTATCTCTAAAGCAGTTTGTTTTTTTAAAAAATTTGCTACAGGGCACATATGCTCACAAAGAGAAAGGAGAGGGAGAAAGGGAAAGTAAGAAATCCCCCCTTGGGGTGGGGGAACTGGCCATGCTAAAATCCCTTCTCCTCATTCTCCTCTCAGGACTAAGGCACACACAAACACACACACACACACACACACACACACACACACACACACGTGCACACACACACCTCAACCAGGTCTGGGATTGGAACTGTGCAGCTAGCCTTAACCAGAGCCTTAACCCCCACAGCACCAGCTGGTCCTAAACCAGTTTTGTTTTGTTTTGTTTTGTTTTGTTTTGTTTTTTTAAGAAGAACCACCTAGTTAAGAATTCTCCTTTTTATTCCTCTATTCTGTTTTCCTGGGATTCTTTATTTGTGGCTGAATTACCTTTGAGGACATTCAAGGCTTTTTTTACTGAGAGGCACAAAAACGGTGAGTATGAAAGTAGTATGTGCTGCCAGATAGAAGCACAGTGGTGATGCAATTGGACCTGCATGGGAAGGTCCCAGGTTCATGTCCCAAGGCCTCTCTGTACACATAGGGCAGGCTTGTGTGTGCATGCCCATGACCTGGGCCGGCTGAGTCTGGGGAAGGACTGCAGTGTGAAGACCCTGCTGGGGTACCTATCTGTGTGTGTTTCTGTATGTGTGCACACATGTCTCAGAGAAGAGAGAAATAAGTTTTTTTAAAAAAAAGCAGCATGCCCGTAAATAACAGAAGTGTGTGGCTCTTAAAAATGTCTCAGGGCCAACCCTATAGCACAGCAGCTAAGTGCTGTGTGTTGGAGCTGGATTCCACATGGACAATGGCAGTATTAATTATTCTGTAAAAATGTGTGTCTCTGTGGCCAGCACGTGGCATGGAAGTTAAGGTGCTGGATCTCACATGACTGGCTCCATAATTCAAGACCCAGACCCAGAGACTTGAAAATCACACCAGACACATGTGTGTGCATGCCCAAAATCTTGAAAGGAGAATGGAAGATAAAGGATTTCTGTGTGGCCATTCCCATGGAGGCAATTCCTCATTTTTCCCTCTTTCTGTCGCTCTCATGAGCATATACACCCAATAGAAAAAAAACTTTAAAAAAAAATACTGTGGTTCTTGGGTCAGCTGGTGACATGGTGGTTAAGGCAGCTGGATCCCACATGGCCAACTGTATAGTTTAAATACCAGACCCAATGACTTGGAAAATATGCTGGACACATGTGCATATGTGCCCAAAATCTCAAAAATAGAGGCGAAGAGAATGTGGCGTGGCCACATGGACAACGGCAGTTTGAAGCCTAACCCTGGCAGCATGTGAAACACATTGGATGCATGTACATGCATGCTCAAAATCTTTATGGGATGGAGAAATGGAGGAAAAAGGATTGCAACATGACCATACCCCATTGGAGGCGTGCGCTAGCACTCTCTCTCTCTCTCTCTCTCTCTCTCTCGCACTTTATTTTAATTGCCCTCTAGCAATTAAAGTCTAAAATATTTTCAGATTTATGCAAATGCCTCTGATACAAGGGGCCTAGTGTCTACCTGACTTCTCTCGTGCTCACTCGCTGCCCGCTCTCTCTCAAGCTCCCACCCCCTTCAGGTCAGCAGGACTGTCTTACACGGCATGATGTACATCTGGAGGCAGCAGGCGAGCTCCATGGGCTGCACCGCTTTCTGTCGACTGTCCTGCATCTTCTCCAGCAGCAAAAGCAGCTGGAAAGGAACACTTCTCCTCTGCTCCTCGGCTCCCCTTGGCACTGTTATCCTGCCGAGTAAGAACAGCCAGAAACCGCCTTGCATTCCTGGTTCCCGATGACAGGCACACACTTCAGTCACTCAGGGATGTCCAGGCCACTCTCCATACAAACTCCTCTGGAGGGAGGGGCCAGTGATCAGCATTTGTAAGCTCCCATGTAACTTAAATGTGTAGCCAAGATTGAGAACCACCGTGTTCAAGAAGCACCTGCATAGTACCCTCTCGGCCGAACTCCAATTCCATCTTAACCGACTCGGCACTGTCAATGCTGGCTGCACTTTGAAATCACCAAGCAGTCTTTTAAAAAGTAACAATGCCTGGGGTCTATCCCAGACCAAGGGAAACTGAATAACCGAGGTGGGAGCAGGCATTTATATATATTTTTAAACTTCTTAGGTAATTCTAATGTGTAGACAGAATATGCAGGAAAAAAATCTTTTCTCGGGCAACTTTTAAAAGAAGATCTCTAATAGTCCACGTCACTTTGGACAACTGGCATCGGAAAACATAAATACTCTGCTGTATCGGCCTAAGAGCCCTACCTCTTCAGTATCTTGGTGAAGTCCAAGTTCATCATGAAGACCTGAATCAGGGAGTTAAGGCAACAGGTCTGCCCAATGTTGTGCAAACCAACAAAGCCTGTCATGGGAAGAGAAAACAAAACCAGGTAAGGGCAGGGCCTCGTTAAAGGACTTAACAGAAATCAAGTGTCTTCCCAGAACCCACTGAGGATGTAAAATCCCAGCGAGTTGGGGGCCAGAAGATTGCATAGTGGTTACATTGCTGGATTCCCACATGGCTGACCAGGTTTGCGCCCTGGACCCAGCGACTTAAAAATCAAGCGGAGCATGTGTACCTGTGTGCCCAAGATCCTGGGAGAAGAAGGGAAAGCAGCTTAGCCATCCCCCCCAGGGGGCGATGTCTCACTTTCCCTCTCACTGTCTCTGTCTCTCCAGCCAGTGCACATATCCTGAGGAAAAGCCTCTAAAAAACAGTAAGTCCTCCTAGAGGTATAAAGAATTCACTAAGGAGCTTGCAAACAAGTAAGAGAGGAGATATCAAGCATGGAATCTTGAAAAGTTAAATAACAAGAAACATTTTAGTAATCTCTCTCTCTCTCTCTCTCTCTCTCTCACACACACACACACACACACACACAGGTGTATAACTCATTGCCATACAAGTAGTCCAAGCGATTTCTGGAAGAGCAGAGGAAAAGAAAGAACTGTCACAGGAAGGATAACTGGGAGGTGTCCCCTGGGCAGACTGGTCTCTACAGTGCGCAGTCAGATGGGGGAGTTCAGGGGCTCAGGGAGGAGTCGCTCCCCAGCGAGCCTGTGTCAGACCCCACTGAGGAGGCCCCTGCACAGCTGCCCTCCCTCCTGGGTGGTGGGGGCGGAGTACAGGAAATGAGAAGCCAATTTTGGAGGGAGCCCCAGCCTACTCTCCCCTGATAGGCGGGACTCACAAGGAATTTACGAGATAGAAGGGGGAAGGGAGACATTTTTCTGACCGTTGGCAACCAACCTCCCATGTCCCAGTCTAACCCTGTGTTCCACTGAAATCACGCAATGAGCAATTTAAAAGGTAAAAAGACAATCTAACCTCAGAATTCCTGGGGAAAGGTCCATGAACACCCTGGAGGAGCAGGCCAGCACTGGTGTCTGCTCCCAGACCAGCAGGACTGGCTTGTTTCTGGACAGACTCACGGGAAGGCAGCAGCGGGGGCAACACCTACCCCTCATGCTGTGGGGCACCGGCCATTCATTTCAGGCAGTTTCTGCAGGTTATCTCTAACTCTCCCAAGACCCTGTGTGCTTGACACTATTATCCTGTCCACGTTCCAGACGCAGAAATAAAAGCACCAGAAATTAGGAGCTGTTAACCACAAAGTTCTACTGCTTCACAGCAAAGAAGACAAGTGAAGCACTTCCCGGCAGAGAAAAGTGAGAGAGACCCACTGACCGTGAGGGCTGCCCCAGGTGCTGGGACTGTCCCTAAGCTGCTGCTTCTTCCTCTTCATGCTGCTCTCCTCCTTCCTGTCAATGAGTTCTGCTGAGCACTGCTGAGCCTCAGCCAAAACTGGCTGGCAGGTTGTCCTCAGGAATCCAAGCACCTTGCCCATCAGCGACTGCTCCGGAACCTCCAGGCTGAGTGGCCTGGCCGGTGTGCAGGACTTCACAACTGCACTTCACTTTCAGAGAGCGCTCACGTGCACCTTGCACGACAGGATTTCTGTGAAAACACAGCACAGGTAGGAAAGGGTAAAGAAGAGGGGATATGTATTCAAACAAGTCAGTGTGCAGATCCGACCCACACACACACAGAGCTGAACCAGGAGAGTAGATCCACGTAACTTTTCCTAATTCTATGTCCCAGGGAGAGGTAAGTGTCTGGGAAGACTAGCTCAGGAAACTTCAGGGCTATAAGTGGGCTCAGGGTTTAGGCCATAATACGGAATGCCATAATCCTGAATACTGACATCCTGAAAAAGCAAAACCCTGAAGTCTAAAATTCCTACCATCTGAAACCCTGAAAATATAATTCTGCAATGCTATAATTTTAAAAATTGTTTAATATTTCAGAGAACTCAAGTAGCTTACCTGCAAAACAATAATCAATCCAATTAAAAGATGAGTAAATAAACTGAGCAGACAACTCTCCAATGAAGACATACAAATGGCCAAAAAGCATGAAAAAATGCTCACTATCTCTTATTATAGAGATGTAGCAAATGTAAATCAAAACCACAATGAAACACCACTTAACCCCAGTCAGAATGGCTAAGATTAAAAAAATAAAGAATGGAACCAGCAGATGGCATAATGGTTATGTCACTAGACTCTCACATGGCCAACCACAGTTCAAGTCCTGGACCCAGTGGCTTCAAAATCACACCAGACCCATGTACGTGCATGCCCAAGATCCTGGGAGGAAGATGGAGGAAAAGGGATTGAGGTATGGCCATCCCCCATGGGGGTGATTTCTCATTTTCCCTCTCACTGTCTCTGTTTCTCCCTCTCTCTGGTGAGGCATGTACCCTAAGGCAAAAACCTCTTTAAAAATGAAGAATATTAAATTAAAATATTTTTTAACAATAAAGGATAAATGCTGATGAGGCTGCAGTGAAAAAGGAACTCTCCAATGCTGTTGAAGGGAATGGAAGCCAGTATAGGCACTGTGGAGAGCAATATGGAGGTTCTTCAAAGATCTGCAATAGAACTGCCAGGTGACCTGGTAATCCCACTCTTAGGTATCTATCCAGGGACAGGAAAACCCTCCATCAGAAAAACACTTGCATATCAATGAAGCTGAGGCTAACTTTCTGAAAACACGCTCATAATAAGCACATGTTATTGTTCCTTGGTCTCCAGAAAGCCAACATCTTGAGTGTCCCAGAAAACTGCAATCATGATTTTTGCTCTTGACCAGGCAGTCCACCTCTGCTTGGGCTGACTACTTCTGCCTCTTGGTGGCCATTGCTTTGATTTTTCTTTGTCTTCAAAACCGAACTGGAAAAGCCAGGTGTCATCTACTACACTTCTTTGCAGAAATGCTGTTCTTATCTGCAGCTGATCTGAGGGCAACGGTTTGGGCACCCTCTGAGCACAAAGTTTGTTCCACTTTAATTCTGCCCTCAGAACCGTGCAGCTGAGCCAGCTGAGGTGTTCATGGTGTTGGCACTGCTTCTGCTGTTAGGTGTTGATCCTCTTCAGTTAAGGCATGAACAAGATGAACTTTTTCCTCATAAACTGGTATAGATGGTCTGTTGCTGCAAACATCATCTTTCTTTTTTATTTTTGGAGAGGTTTTTGCTATAGGGCACATGCACTGCCAGACAGACAGACAGAGACAGAGAGACAGAAAGCAAGAAATCACCCCCGGGGGGGATGGCCACGCTGCAATCCCTTCTCCTCCACTCTCCTCTAGGGATCCTGGGCACGCACACACACGTGCCCTGCGTGAGTTTAAGCCACCAGGTCTGGGACGGAAACCACGGTCGACTACATGGGAGTCCAGCGACATAGCCATTACGCTAACTGTTGGTCCCCAAGCATTATCTTCAACATCATCTCCTCCCTTCCTAAAATGAGTTATCCCTTTGAAAACTGCTGACTTACTTGGGGCATTGTTCCCATAAACTTACTGGACAAAAAGTCATGATAGAGCGCACGTGTGGTCACATGAGAGGGAGAGCTATGAGTACCTGCCGCAGGGTCTGGCCACACAACGTGCCCTTCATCCAGTCCTCCCACCCATCCGACCTTGGGCACGTGCACAAGTACACAGAATGTTTCAGGCTGACTGGGCCGGGAATCCAACCTGTGGTCAACATGTGGGATCCAGCTTTTCTTGGGCAGTACATTGCCACTGTACCACAGAGCTGGCCCACACAAACTTGATAAAGTATCCACGATTTCACATTCTTCCCACCCAAACTTCACCATAAAGCTGATGTTTATTCTTGCTTCAATTTTAGCAGAATTCATACTGCCCTGAAAGGGGCTCTTTACAATCTGATGTCTTATCCTCTGACTGCCTCAAGCTACATCCTGTTCAGACATGTTATATCAAGGTAGTTTGAGTTTACCTTAGTGTAAAAATAAATAAGTAAATAAAATCCATGCATAGTTTCTTCAGAATACATATTTTCCGTAAACTTCTTGAAGACCCCACTTCTTAACAACAGTCAAAAAAGTAGAAGAGCTCTAAAGAGATGACCTGTGTTCATTAAAAAAAAATAGGTCAACAAAGGAAACGTAAGAGCGTGTGTCCCTGTGCTGGTCACAGAGTACACCCAGCTTTCTAACTGTGGTCCTCTGAAATACGGTGACAGACACCTTTTCTTTTCTTTTCTTCTTTTCCTTTCTTTTGATAAGAGAGATCGAAAGTGGCAATGGATCACCATCACTTATGTTTGCCCAAAGAGCTGAGGTCTCAAGAAATTTTGTCTTTCGCAAATGCAGACGTATAAAAAGGACACTTCATTTTTCTGAGGAAATGTCAACCTCCTTGCATACACACACACTGCTTACACACAAAGTCAACGTTGTGACAATGTTATACATTCACAGAGAGGATTTGCAGGGAAAAAAGGATAAAATGAATTAGAACTCGCTAAAATATCCCCAGTATAGCAATTGATGCAAAGGTGAAATACACAGTATAGCAAACTGTACAAAATAAAGCTGATGGGACCAGCCTGTGGCATGGTGACTAGGACGACTGGATTCCCTATGCCTGACTCTGTGGTTCAAATGCTGGACCTAAAAGCTTGAAAAACATGCTAGGTGTATGTGTGCATGTGTGCATACCCAAAATCCCTAGAGGAGAAAGGATTGTAGTAATTCTGGGGGATGACTTCTCACTTTCCTCCTCCTGACCCTCATCTCTCTCTAGTGAGCACATGCACATTATGGCAAACTTCAAAAGCACTAATAATAAAGTTGACATTATTTTTTTGAGCGTCTTTTTGCTATTGGGCGCGTGCACTCACCAGACAGACAGAGAGAGACAGAGAGACAAAAAGCGAGAAATCACCCCCCGGGGGGATGGCCATGCCGCAATCCCTTCTCCTCCATTCTCCTCTCGGGATCTTGGGCACGCATGCACATGCGTGTGGCGTGAGTTTTTAAGCCACCGGGTCCGGGACGCAAACCGCGGTCGACTACATGGGAGTCCAACGACATAGTAATTACGCTAACTGCTGGTCCCTAAAGTTGACAATTTAAAACAGTGGAAGACAACTAAAAAGGAAGATTTCAAGATTTCAACATTCAGGATTTTAATCTTTGGGGACTTGATTTTTTGAGATTTTAGATGTTAGCGATTTCGATCTTTCCAAATTTCAACATGCAGGATAAAAGCGTCAGAAGCATCTTTCAGGACTATGATCTGCCCCCAGGACAGACATCCTTGCCCTTGGCCCCACATGTTTCCACTGTTCCTCCTCGGAGTGGACTGTCATGCCTGACATCTCCCTTCCTCCAGACTGTCCGTGCTGGTAAACGGCCTGACCAGAAACCTGGCAACTCCCTGCTCCTCACTCCCACGCCCAACCACCACGGGCTGTTGGTCCCAACATCTCAAGACTGCTCACAAAATACTCCTCACGGTCCACACCCTTGATTTCCCAGGATGCTCCGACAGACATTCAAGCCCCAGTGAAAATGTTCCTCCTCTGGAAGCCATCCTGGCTGCTCTGGAAGGCACAGATATTGTCTATGTTCCCATGAACTTAGTACACAGAGCTATTCAAATAACTGGTTCATTCTATTCTTGAAGTGAGGCATGCAAGTCTCTCCTGTGTCTGTGGTAGTTTGACACTCAGATACCCTCTACAAAGCAGACACCATCCTGCAGGCTCAGAGGGGCGCTGGTTCCCTCACCATGCAAACCAAAGGTCTATGGCCACATAGAAGTGTAGCTCTAGGGGCCGGCAGGGGGCGTGGTGGTTCAGGTGTTGCACTCCCACATAGCTGACCGTGGTTTGAGTCCTAGGCTTTGTGGCTTGCTTTCTCACTTTCCCTCTCTCTCTCTCTGGTCAAATTAAAATACTAATAATAAATAAAATAAAATAAAATAAAATAATATTTTTTTAAAAAAAAAGGCATAGTTATAAATGAATCATACTAACTATGGTGTTCAAATTCCCCAAGTTCTTTCCTTCTTCCAGGCCACATGACCTTGGCCATCTGTAAATCCTTCCATGCAGGCTCTGGAGTCCCAGGGAGACTTTCCTACATGTTTTGGAGGAAAAGTCACAACCACTGTACCTGCTGCTACCCACCGCCCTGAGGCGTCCACTGGGAATCTGCAAGGCCCTGTCAGACACATGCATGGGACACCAGCATCTCCAGGCAGGGCTCAGTGAGGAAGTGGGAAGCACGCCCACCTCCTCCTACTGCCTCATGCCTTTTGATCCCACCAAGTTCCTCCTGAAAGAGCCTCAATTTCTGTCTACAGCTGCTCTCTCGACGTTCTCAGTCGCACCTACAGGTTTCAGCTCGGCAGCACAACCCGTGCTGTTCTCTGAAGTCTCCCTCTCTCACCCCGGGGCGGGAATGCAAGGTCTCTTTATGGTTCCCCTTTTTCCACGTGAATAAATCTGTAGCTCTACAGCCTACCTGACATCAGGCACTAAATTCCAGGGCATTTTTGTTTGTTTCTTTGTTCTAATTATTTCTATCATGTTTTACTCTTCACTTGAGAACAGTTAGGAATTCTGACCAAACCAAGGGGTGTGAACTTGCCAGAGAGACAGAGACAGTGAGGGGAAATGAGAAATCACCCCCAATGGGAATGCCACACTGCAATCCCTCTCCTCCTTTGTTCTCTAAGGATTTTGGGCATGGCATGATTTTCAAGCCACTGGGTCCAGGATTCAAACCATGGCCAGCACTTTACCCTCCCCCTAAATCTCAGTTTTGAATCAGCCAGAACCCTCTTACTAATTGTGGGGGAGATTTTTAGAAATAAATTACCAGGTCAAAGTGTAAAAAATTATGTTTTATTAAAAAAACATTTATTGGGAACCAGCAGTTAGTGTAATGGCTATGTCGCTGGATTCCCACGTAGTCTACCGCGGTTCGTGTCCCGGACCCGGTGGCTTAAAACTCACGCCGGGCGCGGCGCGTGTGCGTGCGTGCCCAAGATCCCGAGAGGAGAATGGAGAAGGGATTGCGGCGTGACCATCCCCCCTGGGGGGTGATTTCTCGCTTTCTGTCTCTATGTCTCTCTCTGTCTGGCGAGCGCACGCGCCCTACAGTGAAAATCTCTCAAAAAAAAAAACATTTATTTTATTTACCATTATTTTCTAATTTGCTAAAGGACATGTGTACTCACCAGAAAGAGAAAAGGGGGGAGGGGGGAGTGAGAAAGCAAGCCGCAGTCCAGGACTTGAACCTCGGTCAGCCACGTGAGAGTCCAGTACCCGAACCACATCACCTGCTGACCCCAACAAAGGTTAAGAATCTGAACCATCTTGCTAAGTGCCTCTGCAGCCGTTTATACCCTGACCGGTGGGGTGTGAGAGACCACCAGGACTCTGCATGAATGAAGAAACCCATGTCTGATGTTTACAAGGACAAACCCCAGGGAAAAGATGGGGCTAGAACTGAGCCAATTCCAGAGGGGAGAGTCTGGTTTGGAATAGGGGCGTCTTTAGGCTGGGCAACGGTATGCAAGAGATCAGTGTTTGGTGGAGGAGAGCGTGGGAGAGTGCGTGAAAAGACTACCAGCAGATTTACACAGATAAATCCCTATTTGAAATGGAAGAAAATAAAAATGCTCCTGGATTTTAACTTTTATAAAAAGTAACTTGTCCCTAGTAGTCAGGGAAATTCAAATGAAAACCACAGTGAAATGTCATGTTTTACTCTTCACTTGAGAACAGTTAGGAATTCTGATCAAACCAAGGACTGGAGGGAATATGGACAAATTGGATCTTTTTGGTACTACTAGGAGAGGGCAATAAAATGGTACGATTATTTGGGAAAACAATTTGACCTCATCCTATTAAGTTAAACACTCACTTAACTTCAATCCAAGAATTCCAAGAGAAATTCTTACATGTATCCCCGGGGACATTCAGAGCAATGTTCACAGCAAGTGTCTGTAATAGCAAAACATAAAAACAACCCCGATGCTCAACCCCCTCCACACAAGGAGGGCTACGTAAGCTGTAAGGAGCTCACACGCTGTGTCTGTCATTCAGCACTAGGGAGTCTGGGCGGACGACACAAGTCACAACGTGGCAACTCTCAGGACACAAGGGGGGGGTCTGCAGAAAGTTCACGACAATTCATGTTATGAAAGAACTTCGTGAATTTCAAAATGTTTTTGAGCCAAAATAAGATTTACCATAATTCCATTTTTTCATGAATGTTCGAAATCTTGTAATGCTGAATCAAAAAGTAATTTTCCGAAGATGATTCGCAAATGATTTCTTTTTATATAGATTGAAACTCAAAGAAAAATAAAATATATCAACTGCATCAGTTGATAAATACATTTTCAATAAATAAAGAACATCACAAAGTTCAAACAATTACCTTGGGGATCAGACAAGTTAAGAGCGTGTTATTGCTAATGATGTTCTAGTATGGAAATTTGTGTTTATTTTCTCACTAACTAGTTCATTGATTAAGGGGAACATGGGGCCAAGGCTGACAATCCAGAAGAACAGAAATGAAGAAAGAGTGCAAGGGGCCAGGAAGAATGGGGGACGGGTACAGAGGGGGTCAATCAACAAACATCAAATTGCAGACAGATAGAGGGGATGATGTCTGGTGTTACAAAAACACAGTGAAGAGAATACACTTGCTGAGGGCATGACAACATGCTGCAAACCTCGTGGTAACTAAAAGGGAGGCTTCTGAAGTCCCTTCCCATCACCCTAACTGATTCTCCAAACATTGTATTCTTGTCCTGTAAAACCATCTTGTATACACACAATTTATCTTAAGAGAGATATATTTTTTTCTTTTTTTTTGGAGAGGTTTTTGCTATAGGGCTCATGCGCTCACCAGACAGACAGAGAGACAGAAAGCGAGAAATCACCCCCGGGGGGGGATGGCCACGCCGCAATCCCTTCTCCTCCATTCTCCTCTCGGGATCTTGGGCACGCAAGCACACACGCCGGGCGTGAGTTCTAAGCCACTGGGTCCGGGACACGAACCACATCAACTACATGGGAGTCCAGTGATATAGCCATAATGCTAACTGCTGGTTCCCTAGGTTTCTGTTTGTTTTGAGATCTATGCAAACGACTGGTGAAGTCCTTTCTTCTATCACTCCATTGTGGAATGCTATTCCATGACATACTTGCCTGGTTTACACGCATTCTTGTTTACACGCATCTTTCCTGAGTACTGCAGCTTTGTTACGTTTAGGCGTGTTTCCACACACAAAGGCCATTGCGTGACAACTGCAGGGGTACTGTGCTCGCCAGGTTTACGCCCCGGAGCACCAGACTACGTGCAAGCCCTGGCGGGTAGCAGGCGCCAGCACCTGGGTGTGTGTTAGTTACACCCAGAGATAGCCTGGTAGCCTTCTCAACACAGCCCCGGCACCGAGGGCCACAGGACCGTATTTGATGAACTGTATGTACATAACGCAGCATTCATTCCTGCATCGTCTCCACCAGTAAAAACTGGAAAGAACCTAAACGTTTGTCCATGCATGCACTGTCTAAATAATGTGCCTTCTGTACTATGTCAGGTCAAAATTCTGTGACGTGTCTGTACATCTCGCTACGAACGGATGTCTCTACCATGGAAAATGTTAAGCGGAAAAAGTAAGCTACAAGACAATTTTAAAGACTTGTCTATAGGAAAATCTCTGAAAAGTTATACATGGAAACGGTTATGAGTTGAGGACTGAGAGAAATGTTTGCTCCTACTTTACACATTGGTTTTCACTGCTTGGAATTTTGACAAGCTTGCAACACTTTTGTAAATTTATTTTCAATGAAAAACAAACGCATGCAAAAAGTCCAAATATAAACATATCAGCTTGGGAAAAGACCCCTCTGGCCCCATTCACGCATGTCGCGGATGGAGCATTCGAGTTCGCAGAGCACACATAAATCCCCTACTGCCCGGAGCGGATGAGCTGGGCTCTATGGATGTCTTTCCTGAAAAGAAAACGTCCAACATTAGCACCCACCTTGCCTCAAGTGCCCCGCGAGCGTCGGACCTCCACCGCCACCTCGCTGCGTGCCCTGGGACGCAGCGCCGTGCGAGCCCCGTGCCGCAGCTGCTCGGG